ATATATGTATATATAAAAAATATATGTATATAATCTAATTTAAAATGATAAAATATTATTATAATAATAACTAAAAAAATTTTATAATATATCATACGTATCATCACTCACATGATTAATTTATAGTACATGAATAATATATATAATCAAGTTTAAGACACAATGCAATTATAAATCAAAAAATAAGAAGAGAAATTATATTACAATTTTTCACTATTATAGTGGCAAGTCGCATGAATTGATCATGATATTTTCAGGCCAAAAAAAAAATGTACGAGTTGAATCCATTTAAGAAATTTTAACTCCAATACCTAAAATGCGTTTGACTAGTGTTGAGTATGGTTTGATTCGAATCTAAATCAAACCATAATCAAACTGAACAAAAATAAAAATTGAATTGGGTCAATAGTTCAACAATTCCAAATCAAACCACAACCATGGTTTGACTATTTAGTTTCGATTCTTGAAACATAAAACTAGAACAAGTTCCAGTTTGGTTGAAAAGAATAGCAAAGCATTAAGATATAAATTGTGTTCCATAGTATAGTGGTTAGGATTTGTTGGAATCTTTATACAACCTTTTTTATTTATTTTTTTCTGTTTTTATCAATCAAAATCAGTAATTATAATCAAAATCATCAATTTTGAAACCAGAATCGTTGTTTTAGAATCGAAAACAAAACCACCCGATCCAAAACCTTTACATTGATATGTGCATTGCTGTCTTGCACAAAGCCAATAACCCCAACAGAGTCATCATTAGATTAGGGTAGAATACAGCATCTTACTTGAACAAAACATCAATATTATAATGCAAATGCCATTAGAACTTCTATTTCAGAAATTGAAGAGCTTCATCTCGGAGGTATCTCAAAGGGCGGGCAGCTCAATCGCACCATATTCTCAGAAATAAAAGCTGATAACATGTTAGCCTTGCAGGATGGAGAATATGAGAATTGCAGGGCTAATATGTTAGATTTAATTTTAAAGGAAAGAGAAGGAAAGAGGCACACAATCATGCATTTCTTCTCATTCAATCTAAAAACTACTGTAGTAGTCTTCTCCAAGTTTTCTTCATAACCCATTAATCGAGAACCATAACCAACATTTAATTTATTTTCTAAACTACTCCTAATATTTTTCATGATATTTCAAGATCCACATGCAACACATTAATATTAATATTTCTCACCCTTAGTGTGTTGTTGTTCTATAATACCTATAACATCTCTGAAAGACTCAAACTTGCCTTGTGGATATGTCTGCTACTCGATCATTGGAGTTGTAATAAATACTTTCACTTGAATTTTACCTTCTTCAATTGCTTCTATGAGAAAGTGATGTTTCGAATGCAATGTGTCTGGTGCAGATGTGGTAGACAGGGAGGGATCTTAGCCATTACTACAACTTATTTATTATCACAAAAGTTCTTCTTTCCTTCAATTTACTTTTTCTCTAAGATCTTCTAGAATTTTTCTTAGCCAAATTGGTTACGATGTAGCCATCGATGCTGAAACATACTCAAATTCTACATAGGATTGTGCCACTAATTGTTGCTTCTTTGAGCTTCAAGAAAGAAAAAATACAACCGTAGGTATTCTTCATATCATCTATTATGCGTTCACACCAGTCACCATCATAGAATCTAATCAGCTTCATGTTTTCTTGCTTGTCGAACTTGATTCCAAATCCTTCAGTACATTGCAGATATCTGAGAATTCTTTTTGCAGCCTCAAAATGAATAAACATAATATTTGACCTTGTAGTTCTAAGGTATAACAGATTACCAATCAAACTTCCATAAAGAGTAACATCAATCTTCTTTCCTCCATCTTCTTTCTTTAATTTGTCACCAAATTAGCAAATGTCAACATAATTCTTTTGAGAAATAAATACACTATTTTCATCTTGATATATCTCAATGTCAACAGTGTCTTAGCATTCCCATGTCACTCATCTCATATTTGATCACCAGATCAATTTTGAATTCTTCTATCATATTTGCATTTTTTTCCTATAAATACTAAATCATCAACACAAAGAGCAACAATGATTATACTTGAACCTCCTCCTCCTATTTTGGTATATAAAGTAGGTTCACTCTTGCTTTTCATGAAGCCTCTTCATGCAATGCTTTTTCCAACCTATCTATATACTTTGGTTTTTCATGATCTTCAATAATAAAACTCGGTGATTGCTCAACATAGAAATAGACCTCTTCTTTTAATTTTTCATTCAAAAATACTGATTTCACAACAAGTTGATGCCCTAATCATCCTTTTGTGAGCTGCTAATGTAATTAAAAGTTGTAATGATATCAAGGCAAGCAATTGGTGCACAAGTTCCATTATAATTAACTCCATACTTTGTAAGTAGCCTTTTGCCGTCGATCTTACCTTGTTTCTTCACACTGAACCATGCGCATTGTATTTCGCCATACAGATCAGATCCATTTGACACCATCTTTGTTTTAAGGTCCATCGATCAATTCCCAAGTTTTGTTTCTTTTAGTTATATCAATCTTTTCTTTCATAGTTTTCTTCGACGCTTCTTGTTTGATGGTTTTTTCAAAGCTTTTTGGTCCTAACACATAATAATTGCAGCTCTAATAAATATCATTCAAACTTCTCATTCGGAGTTGAATTGGTAGATTCTAAGCTTGAACTGGAAGATGAAAGATGATGAAGCAGATCTTGAAGTATTTGAAGACTAACCTTCATGATTCCCGGTAACACTGTTTCATCATATTCATACACCCTAGTCTTTTTTTCCAATTCAAGGTAACACTTTTATCAAATATAATATCTTTATTGACTATCAATCTCTTGTTTTTCAAACTATAAAGCTTATATACCCTTCAGATTGTGATTTGTTTCATCTGACTTGTATCTTCTCTCTTTTAGAACCTGAGCATAACATAAGCTCAAAAAAAAAATTTACCTTTGAGAACCACCACACATGGGCATGAAATATATGTTAAAATAGATGAAAACCACAAGGAGGTGCATTAGAAGATTTCATTGAATACAGTTTAGCAAAAAATAGTCTACACTCCAGTGAGAGTAGTTTATCATGAATACAGCAAATGTTTCTCTTTGAGAAATTATAAATACGCTAGACCAGATCGTCTGCCAAATACAATGAAAATATGTATCGACAGAATTAAGACCTTATTAAATAGAAACGACGATTTCTCTAAGCAAATATCCTAACCCAAAAATTCAAAAATATCTTAAAACAAACTACTACTTTCTTCTTCTCTTTAGAGCCTAGTGCACAGAGGTATCTTACAATACATCAGAAGTAAATTGGGTCGATACTCCTAAATTACGTGGGTGTGACCCCACTAGATGAGGGCAATAGGTGCAAGAGAAACAACTCAAAGGCAATACACAAGATCACCATCTGGACAAAACAGCAAACAGAGTACTTAAATACTCTACCCTGCAACCTCAAAACCTCTTTGGTCTCTGACAGATCCTTCTCTAGTTCCTCAGTTACTCCCCTGAAAATGACAGTCTCGTTTTCAGCATACTTCACTTTATGCGTAGCCTTTGGCTTATCCCCAGATAAAGTTCTCTGCTGCTCTAAAGAAGCAATGTGATCTTCTGCTACGACTTTCCAACTTTGAGTAGTTATTGTAAGGACCAAATATTCAATTTCCGCCTCTATCTTCTTGACAAGCAAGTTCTCCAACTCGATCTCCATCTCCTTGCACTTCTCTTGGAGGCTTGATATGTTGGTGCTATCTATGTCCTTGTTTGGCCACCCTGTCCTGCTAAGAATTGCTTTAAGCTCGAGTACCTTCGATTCCTTGGCTTTGACACTGGTTAAAGCTTCTCCTAACTTGCATTCCAGCTGCTCTATCTTCTGATTTAGGTCAACAAAATTGGCTTCAACAGCTGGGGAACTAATTCCTTCTGTTTCTTCATACTGGCCATTTGCATCATCAAATATCATGACTTTCCCAATTTCCCCAAAGTTACGGATTTCTGCACGGATGCCATAAAAAAGTCAGTTGGTGATCAATGTAGTAATGTGTGATGGGAGAAAAAATTGAAAATTCTGAACCAATTTAGCTACACATTGATGAGTAGAGATAATAAAATATACTTGAAAATTAAGGTAGGTTTTCTTATGTGGTTACTCTTAGTCAACCAAAGTCATCAAACACAAGGACAATACTTTATGAATTTAATCAACTCCTATTGTCTTGAATGAATTATTCAAATTAAGTGCTATCAGTTCTTCAGTTTTAGTTCTTATAACCTTCACCTTCTCGGTGATAATGCAGCAAAAAATGGTCAAACAAACATGCTATACTGTGCTCCAAAAATCACCTTTAGATGACAACCAAGAATGAAATTCTCATAACTGCAGTAAATATACTGCTTTATCAGATAAATTTGGAGTGATCCTTAAGCCAGTATACTATTTTGTTTCTGCAGTTTATTTGGATACCTCTTCTCAATCAAGCACATCTTACATAGAGAGGACAACAGGGAGAATCCAGAGGTCCTAGGGGCAATATCAAGCTTAAAAAGATTAAATTTTATAAATAGGTTGTACATAAATTTACCAACATGAAATACCCAAAAAATGAGTTGATACATCAGCAATATTCTCCAAACTCCTAGGTGCAGCTATGTGGACTGTTAATATGCTTGAACACAGATTACAATCTTAATATAAAAAACAATAAAAGAACATTAATGTTACTAATACTGCCATGGCAGGCAACTCACTATGCAAACCGGGAAAATCTGAGCTAATTAGTGCATGAAATTCAGGAAAAATACATGCCAAGGGGGATAACTAGAATTACATTCTGCACACATGACTAAGGTCCCCACTGGAGATCCCTTGTTGTTTCTTTCATTTGAAGATATGATGAGAACAAAACAAGAAAATACTTTATAAAATTGCACACAGTCGATTACTTGAAAAGCTCATATTGAATAAGGAGATATACTTTATCAATATAATTGCTTATGTGAAACCCAAAAAGGACTGTAACATGAACAAAAAACTCAGATATTAAAGAGGGATCCTTAGCAAAATATTTAAAAATGAAATTAGACACATGATTTCCATATAGCAACAATTGACTAATAGCATAAGTCAACAAAGTAGGAGCTAATATATCCTTTGCAAAACATGAATCCAACTGTAAAGATAACTATTCATCTACTGAGTATACAGGAGGTATATATTGCATCAGTGTGCACATACAATGGACCAATGACCATGCGCATGAGTGATGCTTAGACCAAAATTAAGCATCAATGGTGGTTTCCAAGTGAACACGATCTAGTAGCACCAAGCCTTAAAAAGCTTTACCATCACAGTACCACAAAGCCAGGAAAATACAAAACTTTACTCACATAGATGCTAGGTGAAAGACCTAGAAGAAGCAATAAATAATTATTGAGCTCCAAAAAGATCCACATCATAGAAAATCATTTTTGTTATCAAAATTCGATAAGAATAAAACAGAGAGAAAAAACTCTAAAGCTGAACCTCGATAATCTGCACAAACAAATAGAACTTCTGGAACTTTGTATATATATCAAGGTAACAATTTTCTTTTCTTGGTAAATAACAAGGTAATGATCACAGGTAATATTGATTAATTGAATTTGAAAAATAAAAATGCCAAGAAACATAAGCAACATAGAGCAACAAAGTAACAGAACAATGTGCCTCACAAAGCTTTATAGGAGAATTTAACTTGTTGAGATGTTTATCATTTCATGTGATTAAAAGAAAATTTTTTGCTCCAAAAAAAACTGTAGTCATCCAACATAAAACAGCAACAAGAAGTCATAGGTCTCAGATATTTTAGCTTCACTACATGGATTCCTTTCTGATACTGAGCTCTATTAAATGCGATCCTATTAGTTTCTTCAGGGATGTCAAACTCTTTCCTTTTTTTCATTCAAGCAAAGTCTTCCTTTTTCTTCTGCTCTTCTAGTACTAGTAATCTGTATTCTCTCTCTTTATTGATGCATCTACAATCTGGAAAGGTATCAAATCAGCTAAAGCAACTTCCCTTAATCCATCATCAGCCTCTAATTTTTCATGGCAAGAAATAAGCCCCATAACAACATCCTCATATCTACAATACTTACTCTGTGTAGTTATCCAAGATAAGCTCAACATTTGAAAACTGTCAAATAGACCTTTGCTGCTGTTATGGCTACACATGCTGAGGCACCACACAAGAAGGATAGATAACAAATAAGCAATATATCTTTTAACTAGTCTAACCCAAGCATGTTGATAAAACAAAAAAAAATACTCATTTTTCTCCACAACTAAATATCAAGATTATTCACCAAAGGATATGGATAAGAAATTTTGCCTAAAGCATGAAAACAAAAGTGAAAAAAGTAGTCACATAGAACATTGTTACAAGGACATGGAAGAGAGATAAAATATTTACCATTTTCTAATGCTTCTTTTGTTGCTTGCAGAGAAACAATTGACTCTAAAAAGGGATCAAGATCTGACCCTGGATGAATATTCTCAAATTTATTATAATTCTTCTCTCCTGACCGATTGGTTTCTAGATCTTCCCTCAACAAAGCTCCAACTCCCCCATTGTCCTTGTAGAAACATGATCTTACTTCCTCACTTGGCTGAGCATCGTCGCCATCATAATTTACATATTTCTCACTTTGCTTCCCATTACTAGCCATGCTGTCCATATGTAGAAAAGCAGTGTTCGAACTCATCAAGTCAGATTCGATGCTTGAATAGAAGTTCTCTGTCTCGTTTTTAACTTGGTCTTCTCGAATCTTCTTACCAGCATCGGTTTTGCCTCGTTTTGCCCATTGACCTCTTTTTTGTACATCATGCCCCGGTCCTTTTCCACCAATGTTTCTTGCCCTGCTTCTGTCCCTCAAAAAACCAATCACTTCATGCTGCAGCCTTGGTGCACTTGCAGCCGTCGATGACTTACTAGTACGATCAGCATTGCCAGTTACATCTTTACTCGTGTCTCTCCTAATTCTCCGCCACTTCTTCAATCCATAACCCTTCGCAGAGGCCGCCACGCTCGAAGGAGATCCACTCGGATTCAAAGGCGAATCAACCGAAAACTCTCCTCCAACTAAATCCCCATTAGCTTTCCCACCCCCGGGAGAAAAGTTAACAGCTTCAGCAGGAGAGACACTCCCTCTCTCTTCCGGAACTCGATCTGCACCTCCTGTCTCAATTGGAGAATCGATCCGAGAAGGTTCTTCAGCCAAGTCTCCACGGAGCTCCACCTCAGTTTCACCGAAAGGAGCCATCTTTTCCAGGGCCTCACTTCCGTTCTTCTATCCCGGTTCTTCGGGCCTCGATCAAGAGCACTGCCCCTCCAATTTCATACCAAAAACTACTGCGAAACCCTGGATAACCTATAACTACAACGATAAACACACCGATTACCGGAGAAAGATCACAACATACGGCCGGAAACCTCAACAAAGTTTCCGAATTCTTCTGCAGGCCAACGGAAGAAAGTTGATTCAACCGAAATCCAAATAAAACTTGGGCACGGAAAAGGTCGAAATCACGGATTTCGAGAAAACAATCTTTCGTCAGCTATAATACAACCATCATCGAAACTAGGGCTATTCGTTGCCGAAATTCATGTGGAAGGGGTATCCGAAAGGGGGCGAAGGAGAAGCCCTCGGAATCCGAAGAACTCTCATGTCGAGGAGGGAATAACAGAGGGCGGTGTCATTTCCTCAAGCGGATTTATTACGTGGACAGATGGATATCGAGGCCCCATACACGTGGGTATGCCAAGGGGAAGGCACTGGGTGTTGATCACCTGTCTTAGCCCGTACACCGAACATAAACATTTTCTTTCCCATTGGTCAGAATTCAAAGCCAGGCCAATGGATAAACAACCTTTCCTCGTTGGCGTGAAGGAGCCCGCGGACGGGATCATTGGATCCCATGTTTTCCTGTTGAATGCCGCTAGATATGGCAGAAACTACCACTGGAGTTCCAAAAGGTGGATATCTCAAATGGGGTATTGATTAAATGGATGAAGGTTTAGATTATTATGTTTTACGTGATGATACACTTTTTTTTTTTTTTTTATGGTTGTAAATCTATGGACAATAAGAAGAGCCTTCTCCGTTGCAATTAAAGATGGCCCTACAAGTTGGAATGGACACTGGTTTGAGAAAGATTGTTGTCCGATCTGGTTCAGATTCAGATGCTCAAGAAAGAAGAAGAGTCCTCCGTGGAGTCTTTTGAACTCTATCTCAGACATGTACTATCTATCTGATTATAAGTTGGAGCATGCATATTGGAAGGGTAATCAGGTGGCTAATTGATTGGCCAACCATACAAAAAATTATTATTATTATTATTTTTGCCTTCTTTAACTTTTTCTTCTCCTACATTCTATTATAGGTTACTCGTTTTGCTTAGTTTTTAATTGATTTTTATTTTGGTAAAAAAAATATTAAACGATAAAAAAAACACTCAAAACCACTCATCGTGCAACTTTTTAGTTGATTTAGAAAGGTGGTAAGCTGTTTGCTAAAGTAGTTCGCATGGCAATGCAAAAGTCACACAGACAATAGTTTACATTTTGGATAAGATACTGCACTTGGTGGTGACTTTGAAATACATCATATATTTTATATATCTAGCAGATACGGAAATAAAGCATGTCTGTGATAGATGTTGAAGTATCATTCAAAAGTGTTTAAGACGATTAAAGGTTTGTCGTTTGACATGCTCATGCATGTTTGCCTGGGTTTATATTGACGTTTGACGGATGCTGAGTTTTGGAGAGCAGAGGGAGAACACTCCATTCCTACTACTACTCATGCCATGGAGAAGCCTCTCTCTCTCTCTCTCTCTCTCTCTTCGCGTGCTATCTACTACTACTCATGCCAAAAAGCCTTGTTCACTCCATTCCTGATCTCTCTCCAGTGTAACGGCTACATCTCGTGGCAGAGGAATACTTACGTGAGCTGATATTGTGTTGTCTTTCTTATTGTAAGGTTTCTCCAAACCTCGTTGGAATCACTGGCTTGAAGGGGCTACGGTGCAGTTCTGAGTAGCACTCGTGGTGTATTCAACTACATGAATACATGTGGAATTATTAGCGTGGTAAGGGTCCCTTCGTAACGTGACATCTAACTCGACAATGAAACCAGAAGATTGTGCAGCAACTTTAATGGTAGGGTTTTGGAGTACATGCAAGGTTAAGAGTTTCTTCTACCTCAATAAGAGCAACCTGCATTTTTGTGTCCGCATACACTAATTGCATATGGATGGCATCAAGAAATTAGAATCTTTTAATGCAAATTCGCGTGTAGACAATAATCCTGAAGAGGAGAATATGAGCAAAATGGAAGAATTATATTAGGGTTGATAAGTATTTCTAGATATATAATAAGATTCAAAGTATTTGGCTAACGAGGTTAGTTGGAGAATAAGATATTCTAAGTATGGACTCTTTTGAATTAAGGTTTGGTTGTCATTCTATAAATACATACCATGGGAAGAGATAAACAAAATATAATTTGAGTGCTTCTAAATTAGATCAAGAAGAGATTGAGAGAAAAATCCTGCAATATTTATGTGAGAAGATGCACCAGAAATTTATAACTTCAGTTTTGAGTTAATTGAATAGAGAATCTTATTTCTTGTATTCGATTACTGTCAATAGCAAAGAAGTTGATTTTTTTCCACATACGTAAACATGAGTTGTCATACCACGTAAATATGGAATTGGCCTTTTCTAGTTTTCACTTTCTAGGTAATCTCTGAATTTTTCTTTGGTATCAAGTTGTCCATCAAATCTTGCTACCCTTATTTTAACCCAGAAGCATGTAATATGTAATGGCAATTTACAGTTCTTCACTAAATTCTGACAAGGTTTTATTATTATGTAATGTCATTTTGAGACAAAACAAAATCAACCTGCAGATCAATTTAGCATATTCATATTAGCATCAAGAGTAGGAAAAACCACAAGTTATCTATCTACCAGAACTAGTAGTAGCACAGAAGGTTGCCAGCAGCAATGACCAAAAGCCAGCTTGAAGAACACTTATTGCCATAGTTAAATGGCAAGGTTTAGATGCATCGATTATTGAGGGCTACATGTCCTTTTGGTGATGTCTAAAACTGCAACTTTTGCAGAGAGAAAAGGTTTCCTGTGTTGCCACCAACAAGGATACACAACATATCTCAAAGTTCCAACAGTACACAAGTTCTTGTTGGTTTCACTCTTTTGACCTGGTGGATGCTTCATGACTACTTCAAAGGATATGGATATCAAAAGTCTAACCATGGTGATCCAACTGAATGCGGCAAAGATGGCTGCTGCAAGTACAATTTGGAAGAGTTTTGTTCCACAAGCACTTTGTAGAGGTAGGATCAGTGGAGGGTCTGTGAGTAACATATTGATGGGCGCATGTAAGCGGTTCCAGGAGATTGGAACATGAAATGGCCTTCTGCAGTGCTATACCTCTTGATCAAACTAGCATCCACTCCGGTGTACAGGTTCGGTAACAAAGGTCTCATGCCACTCGGAGGATCCTCAATGTGATCTTGCGAAGAAAGGCAGGAGAATGATCTCTGAGACAATGGATTCAAACTTGAGGCATCAAAAGGCAAAGTGCTTGTTGGACTGCTCAGACTTGGTTGCTTGTCAGTCTTGGGAGAGTCATCTATCACTATCACCTCATTCATCATGCAAGGAGTTGCAGAGGAGTCGAACTTTTTGTATGCATTCTTTTCCTGGGTTTGTTGATTTGGTCTTGGCACCAAAGCAGCATGCAGAGAAGTGAATGAGAAACCAGCCACTGCTGTGCTGGGCAGGCATACGGGAAATTGGTGCTCAGCCACTGTTCCGGGAAAATTCTGCTGCTTCATGTGAGTGTTGGCTGAACTAAATCCAAGATGAGATGACAAGTTTACATCTGGTGGGTGATCCATAACTGTACTAGGTGGCACAAACTCTTCATTTTTCATCACCATCAAATTCTTGCCCATCAACCTAAGGATTGGATTAGCACCGGTGCAAGATGGAACCTTGACTGCAGAATCTGACAAAGTTTCGGTGGAGGTGGAGCTGACCATAGTGTTAGTTCTCGGATTCTGATACAAACTAAAAGAGGAAGAGATTCTTGGCCCGGGAAACAAGTCAGGAACCTGTTTTCCAATGGTTGTCCTGTGCTGTGTAGCGTTTGATCTTAATGATTGAGACTCTCTTGAAAGGCTCTCCCTGCATGAGCTATAGAATGGCTCATCATTTACTGACTGACTAGGTTCTTTTGCTGATAGATTTGCCTTGAGTTCTTGATTCCTGCCCTCGACATTTCTTTCCATCAAAGCCAGCTTATCTTCAACATTAACAACAATTCCCAATGCCTCATTCTCTGGATCAGTATATTTGGAATCTATTGAAGAGGGGACAAAAAGAGTTGATGCAGTTGACACAGGTGATCCACTTGGTTCACCATCACTAGCCAAATTCATGGCATCGTCCACAATTGTTCTAACGGAGGTTACCGATGTGCTCCTTTCGGGGATTCTAGGACCGACATCCCCATTAGTCAAGCAACCACTAGATTCCTGGATGGACATGGTATCAACAGTATATTCCTTGGGTTCAATTGCACAAGAAACTTTCTCCCCTCTTTCTTCCATTTCATCTGCTATTTGGATATTTTGGTCATCGATCTCTTCTCTGGACACACCATCACAGCTTTCCTCTTGCCTTTCAGATCTTTCCACTAATTGTTTTTCATGGAATTCCCTTTTAGATATATACTGAACTTGTTCAACCAATGGAGAAGGATCTAATCTGGCACCAAATGATGCTTGCAGGTTTCCTGAACTCACGATATCATTAGGAGAAGGATTAGCCGTAGATATTTCCTTAGATGACTTGATGACACAATGTCCAGAGTGAAAGACCTCTACTTGCATGTTTAAGTTCTCGACATCAGGACCATGACATTCGTCACCATGGTTCTGCTCCTCCATTGTGCTCCTGTCATCTCTTTCCTCATCTCCTGGGACATCTTTCCTGCTTGTAGATCCATGATTCATCATCTCTCCTGCTGGAGATACTGTTACACTCTTTGAGCAATCAAATTCACAAGATTCTAGTGCATCGTTACTTGTTCTTGGAATATCAATACCATAGGGAGTTGCCTGGAATTCTACTCCACTCTTGCCACTCCTGGAAACCGATCGATGCTTGCGGAACTTGTCAAAGGAAAATAATTTATCTTTTAGATCACCTTTCCTCACCTCCGAGGTGCTGGATGTTCTTCCAGCAGAGTCTTTCTTCTTCAAAATTAACTTGATTGGGTCTTTTATCAAGGGACGATGACAGATTTCCAAAGATATGTTCGTCCTCCGAGAAGAGTTATCAGATTGGTGTTGAATGCTTAGGTCAATCTCCTTTATTTTGATTCCTGAAGAAGCCACAGAATTCCCAGATGACTTTGGTTTTCGCAATAGG